TTAAGTGCTTGTCCGGATGTTGTTCTATAGGCAGAAGCGATCCTCAAGAGCATCCTCCTTTGCAATTTGTTCAGAAGCTCTCTATATTTTTCCATATGTAGTACCTTATTCCATACAGGTGCGCCGTATAATAGAATGGACTGTACAGGGTGATTCTTTTATCATGGGAAATGAGTTTTTCTCGTAAACGGCTGCAGCAAATTGAGTTTTGTGAAAAGTATTTTATTTGGGCCGGCTAATGCTTAAAATTGGGATGGATAAGGAAGTTATAAATAAGCGACGCTGGGCGTCGCGACGCTTCAATTTTTTTTTGTCAGAAGCATACCATTTTTATTTCAGAAATTGAAAGATCTATTCAATAGAAACACTTTTTTCAAATACCATTTTTTTCCATCTAAAACCATTCAAGCATTACAGACCAGTTTTTATGTTTTAAATTTGTCGATTGCCATACAAAAAATGCTGGGTTTTTAAATTTCACTAAATCAGGCAGGCTAACTTTTATGCTGATATTGACAACAAATATAATTTAGGATTTAAAGAAAACAATTTACAAGATGTTCCTACATTTAATAACACTTATGTAATTGTTTAGGAAATAATCAAAGTTTACACTAACAACCCATAAAACATACATAAAACATTAAAGAATAACATGAACTGTATTTAGTAAAAATTAATTGCTAATTCACAAATCTTATTTTAACAATTGCTCGATATATGCGCCATCGTTATCCACACATAAATTGTACCGCTTTCTTATTTCGAAAGATGTAACTTTTCTTAAAACATCACCAGATATTCCATTGCACGCATCAATAATTTTTTGTTTTAAAATATCTAAATTATTAGATTTTGTTTTATACACTATATTTTTTAAAATTCCCCATAAAAAGAAATCTAAGGGTGTCAAGTCCGGAGATCTAGGCGGAAATTTCAAGGGCCCGTGTGTCCCCAACCATCTTCCGTGGTAGACTTCATTCAAATAATTTTGAACAATGACCGCATTGTGGCAAGGAGCTCCATCTAGTTGAAACCATAAGTTTCTTCTGATTTGCAGTGGCACATGTTCCAGCAAAAGAGGAAGGTGATTTTGGAGAAAATCTAAATATCTTGGGCCCGTCAAGGCGCCTTCATAAAAGTATGGCCCTACTAAGTGCCGCCCGACTATTCCGCACCAGACGTTTATGCCAAAGTGGCCCTGTATTTGATGTTGTCTGATTTTGCGCGGGTTTTCGTCTGACCAATAATGGGTATTTTTTTTTGTTTGGTAATCCATGACTAACAAAATGACTTTCGTCTGTCCATAGTATATGAGAAAATAAATTAGGATTGTCATCCAAAGACACCAAAAACTGACAAATAAAATCCTTCCTCCTCTCAAAATCTCTAAGCGAAAGTTCTTGCAAATTATGAAATTTATAGTCATGGTATTTGTTGCTTTTTAAAACTCTTTGTATCACACTATAATTTAAATTTAAGTCTCTTGAAGCCTCTCTTATAGAAGCTTCATGGTGATTGTTAAAATAATTTAAAATAATTGCCACATTTTCATCCGTCGTGACAGTTTTTGTTCTTGATCTTTTACCTGCAAATTTGGCTCATTGAATTTATGGGGATTTATTAAAAAACACAAAACCTACCTTCAAATGCTTTAGGGTTTTGACGTAAACTAGTTTCTAACCTGGCAAACATTTTGTGGTCTGGAAGGTTGCGTTCGGGGTATTTTTCCGCATATAATCTTCTTGCAGCTAAACCATTTTTTTGGGCTTCTCCGTATAAAAGAAGCATGTCAACTTTATCTGAATGTGTAAACATATTTCTTATTACTCACTATTTTAATAGGAATAATTGAAATTACACTGACAGTTTCAGACATCAATCAATATAAGCCAATTATGTTTTTTCAAAGCCTACCTGATTTAGTGAAATTTAAAATACCATGCATTCTTTGTATGGCAATCTAGAAATTTGGAACATAAAAACTGGTCTGTAATTTTTGAATGGTTTTAGATGGAAAAAAATAGTATTTAAAAAAAGTGTTTTTATTGAATAGATCTTTCAATTTCTGAAATAAAAATGGTATGCTTCTGACAAAAAAAAAATTAAAGCGTCGCGACGCCCAGCGTCGTTTATTTATAACTTCCTTATCCATCCCAATTTCAAGCAATAACCAGCCCAAATAAAATACTTTTTACAGAACCCAATTTGCTGCAGCCATTTACGAGAAAAACTCATTTCCCATGATAAAAGAATCACCCTGTACAACACCGTTAAGCATCGCTCTTTTGTAGCTGTTTGGCCCTCCAATGTTCGGTGTTATTTTTTCAATTGCCGCTACGGACTTTTCTGCTTTCTGTACTGTTCTTTTAACATGTTCGGTGAACTTCAACCCTTCATCCAGCCATATTCCCAGATATTTGAGGTGCTTACCTGGCGTCACGATATTCTCCTCTATTTCGAAACTAATACCCGTTCGATTTCTTGGGCTTTTTAATATAACCGCTTCCGTCTTGTGTGGTGCAAGCTTTAACTTATTTGCCATCATCCAGTCTGAAATTCTCAGTAGTGACGTATTTACAATGTACATTAGGCTTTGCTTGTCTCTAGCATTTGCCACATCTTCCGAAGGTTTTCTAGGGTAATGGTGGTAATATGATGAATCGCCACCAGCTCGTCCGTCAGAGTCTCCTCCTTGATCTTCAGGTGTGTCTTCCATATATCTTGCATGGATCCATCATGATGTGCCTTTATTATTTTTTTGGTACTTAATTCCGTACTATCATTGTTAGACTTTATTTTTGTAATTTGTTCAATGACCTCAAAGTCGCTTTTAATGTTGTTTAGCTCGGGAAATTTCTTCCGGTACAACCTCTGAATACTAGACCTCATCTCCTTGTCGCTTGACTCAATCAGCACCACCTTGGTTATCTGGTCACCTGTGGCAAGTGGGTTCCCCACGATGACTTCCGTCTGCTTAAACAGGCTCTGGTCCCACTTCAAGCCTTCGACTTGTCTATATTGTTCCAAGTCTTCAATTCCCTCTAAGGATTTTAGGTTTTCCTGGATATATGTGCCGTGCCACGGCTTCGTTTGTGTGGACATTTCGGAGGTCTCTTTTTTCTTTGGTGGTATGGTTTGGGTGTCTGCGTCGAAGATTATTTTTTCGATTGGCTCTAGCCTGTGCTTATCTATCCACTTGGTTATACTATCTTTTTGGAATTCCTTGGCGTTTTGAGATATTTTTTTTGTAATGTCCTTTTTTCTTCGGTGAGTATTGGGAATTTCATTGATCATTTTCTCCCATGCTTCGACCAGGTGTTGGTTTCTTTCAATTGCCTCTTGACAAAGACTTCCAGACATTCCCTTTGTTTATATATGTTTATATATGTCTTACAGCTCCTAGGAGTGGAACCTAACCTAACCTTTTTTTTAGGTGGGGGAAGCTCATGGCCGACATCATGGTGTCTCGGTTGTCTTACTCCATCTGTGTTTGTCTTTCTTCCTCCTCTTTTCCTTCCATTACTTTTACAATGAACTTATATATGGAGTCCCAGCTTTCTTTACTATTACACATCTTTTCTATTATGTTTTCAGGATTTAGTTCTCCCTCTCTATCGTACACTTCTGCCCTCCATATTTGCCACTTTTGACAGTGGAAGATTGTGTCTTCTGCTGAGTCTTCCATATTTACCTGGCAGTAACGACACTCGTCCCTTTGGCTCTTCCCTTTTAATGTACATTTGAAAACAGCCATGCCCTGTCAGAAACTGGGTGAGGTAATACCCTGCGGCCACCGTTAACGCCAGGTCGTCTGCATAGGCAATTACTCGGCAACCGTCTTCCATATCCAGTTTAAGTACGTCGTTGTATAGTACGTTCCACAGTGTAGGGCCCAGAACTGATCCCTGTGAGGCCCCCATTATAATTCCCATCCGTTCGTCTTTTCCGATATTTATGGTTCGACCCGTTAGATAGTCCGTAAATATGTTTACTAAGTAATTACTTATACCGGCCTTCCTTAATTTATCCACTATGATGCTCCATACCGCCGTGTTAAATGCGTTCTGTACGTCTATCATTATTGCGGCTGTCCACTTTCCCCCCTCTGTGAGTCTGACCACTTCATTCTCCGCCTGCACTGTGGAGCGTCCCTTCCATACTGGCTGTTTGAGAGTCCTTTTTTTTGCTCCCGTTCCCTCTCCAATCTTCCCCTTACCAAGATTTCATAGTATTTCCCGAGGGTGTCTATCAAACATATTGGTCGGTATGTATTTTCCTTTTCCTTTGGAAGGAGACAGACATTCGCTGTCTTCCAGCACACAGGGAATCTCTGTGACACTAGCAGTTCATTCATTACTTTAACCATGACCTGTGGGTTTACCTCTACTGCCGTTTTCACACTTTCAGGAAAAATGCGATCTAGTCCGGGGGACTTTTTCTCCTTCATTTGTGCACTGTGCACCTCTCTTACTGTAAGTTCCTCGACATTGTCAGGCGCCTCTTCCCTAGCAATTCTATCCTCATTTGTAGGAAACAGTCTTCTTATTATCTGCCTTCTGACAGTTCGTAAGGCGTTTTAAACCCTTTAAGGCTTTTCACGGCTATTCTGTAACCCTCGCCATATATGTCTTCATTTAAGGCCTGGTACACCTTTTCCCAATTCCTCTTCTCTGAGTCCTGGATCAATCGCATCGGATCTTTTCTGGCTTGCCGGAGTGTATCTTTCAATCTATTTACTTCCCCTGTCCTTTGTGTCCTTCTCTTCCTGATCCTTGTAATTGTTCTTCTGATCGTAGTTAACTGTATTCTCTTAGATTCAATCTCCACGTTCCACCAATAGGGTTGCGGCCTTATCTTCCCGGTACTCCCGTAGTTCTGGCTTCTTTTTTGAGCTTCAATGATTGCCTTGACCAGTTCTTCAGGGTTCCTTATATCATTGTCCGCCATGGCTATACAAATCTTCTTCTTCTTCTTCTTCTTCTTCTTCTTCTTCTTCTTCTTCTTCTTCTTCTTCTTCTTCTTCTTCTGTCGTAGCTACGTCTAGATCGTATATAAATAAGGTTTCCTCGTCGTTTTGAATTTTTTTCGTCTTAACGTCCCCCACTTTGTTTTTTATTTCTTCTTCAAATACTTTTAGATCTTGTTTGTTATTTAGGGTTATTAGCATGTCGCCCTTTTTGGTTATTCTTACGCCTTTCACGTTTTTTCCCGCGTCTTTTCCGTCCATTTTGGTTCGGACTTCCCTTAGTAGCTCTGCATAGCTTTTTCCATTTCCTTCTACAATTAGGGCTGGGAATTCCTCTCTTCTTCTTCTTCTTCTTCTTCTTCTTCTATTGTCCGGTGCTCTGACGTTTAGCGAACTCAAGTAGTCTTGTCTGGTCGTGTATAGACTTATGTTGATATCTGATTTACAGAATGTGAATTCCATCATTTTTCTGATTTGGGGTGAAACTGTTATGCCATCCTTCAACTGCATTATTGGTTCTAGCAATTCCCTCTCTGGCTACATTGTAACAATTCCAAGAAGATATAGGAAATTTTGGTAACCGTCTTCTTTCTCTTCTGTCTAATCTACCAATCCACGTGTCTTCAAAATAGTTGATTAAATCTGCTAAGTCCTCGTTTTCTGCATAGAATTCACTTTCCAATAATAAATCAGAAGCACTCTCTACATCGTCTTCAGGAACATAAGCAAGTGCAGCCAGAAGTCGCAAATTTGATGAAAACACTTCTTCATCCACATATCGCCTCTGAATTCCGGTATTCTGGATTTGCCTCCATATACACTGAGAAAAATGAAAAAAGCATCCACGAATTTGAGTATCAGGGAATTCACTTCGTACCGCATTCATCGCTGCTTTTTCGAAATCCATTAAAAAATATGTAGGGCAAAGTTCAGGTTTCAAATTTTTTAATGCTGCATATAAACGTCTATAGCTTTCTTCTCTTTTATTCGGCAGAATTGCATATACTGTTGGAATGATATTTGAATATTTGACACCATGGATTGTATATATTTGGAAAAACATATTAGGGGCTGTTGAAAAAGTTCCATCTCCGTACCAGTGTTCACACTCCAACATGTAGTCAAGATTTCTTGCTGTTGTAAACACTAATATTCGATCTTCTGATGGGCCGCTGTCGTACATTAAAAATAACTGACCACTGCTTGTCAGTGTATATTCCTGTGGAATAACTAATTGAAGCAGAGAATTTGGAATCGCAGGAATTCCTTCTGTCTTTTCCTTTTTTCGTTGAATAGTTCTTTTCATTGCACTCACTTGTGGTAATCTGGCTGCAGCCGATGATGATAAACCCTCGGAAACCTTTGCAATGATTTGTTGAGTAGTGGAACCACTTTGTTCAGCTAAAACTTTCATTTTTTTAACAGCTCTTCTTACTTCGGCATCAGCACTATCTGACACATGATTATGTTCGGCACTCTTCACAATTTCATCGCCTATGGTATGAATGCGACCGGTACATCTCCATTTATGATATAGAGAACATTTCCAAATACCTTTTTCTCCAGAATTTTTTTCTCTAGAATGTGTAGCTCTTGATCAGGTTTGTCAACCATCTTGGCGTGTCATTGTCTTCTAGTTTCCTGTTTATCAGGTGCCATTTCGCTGTGTTAAATGCATTTTTAATGTCCAGGCTTACTATAGCTTGCCAATGATGTTCCGTCCTTCTGATGATTGCTTCGACTGCCTCAACGGTAGATTTTCCTTTTCTAAAGCCATATTGGGAATTCGAGATCGTAATGTTTTTCTCCAGTTTTTTCTTTGATAAGATGTTCTAGGAGTTGTCCTAGTACATCTAGGATACAGATGGGTCTGAACTTGCGATCCCTTTAGGGATAAGTGCTACTGTGGCTTTCTTCCATGCTATTGGGAATTCCTGTGTCAATTTTATTGAATACCCTAAGTAATTTCGTTGGTATTTGCGCGACTGCCACCTTGACTACCTCAGGAGTAATGCCATCCCGGCCTGGAGATTTGCCAGTTTTAATCTTTTTCGATGCATCTTTTAGATCCTCTATAGTAAAGGTACCGTTATCTTGCGTTATTTCCCAATCTACCCCATCCTGTTGCCAGTCAGGGAAAAGTTCATCGACAATTCCTCTCTTTTCTTCGTTCGACAATTCGTATAATTGGTTTTTGTTTTTAATTTGCCTTGTAGCGATTTTATATCCCTGTCCCCAGACGTCGTTTTCAAGTTCATTACATAATTCTCTCCATTTACTCTTTTTTGACGCATTTATTTCCTTTTTGTATGCAGCTTTCTCTGCCTTATATGTCCTTTGCAGGTTTTGCATTTCCTCTGCATTTTGGTTTCTATTTCTTCTGGCCCTCGTACGTTTCCTTCTTTGTATGTTGCAGTTTTTCCTACTGGCTGATAGGTCTTCGTTCCACCAATACGGTGTGTTTCGTCGGGAACTTTCTATGTGTCTGATCTCACTGGCTTGCTGGGCACCTTTGAGTACTTTAACTAGTCTTCCTGGTACTTCTCCTATATTATGTCTTAGTATGTCTAGTGAGTTTCTCAGGTTTTCTATGTCTATCTGCGGTTTGGGTCTATATAGCTGTCTCTTTCTCTGCTGGCTTATTTATGTTTCATTCACTTCGAAGATTATGAAGCGGTACAGGCTTAGGGATTCCTCTAGTGATGCCTTCCAATCCTGTGTTTTCCTTTCTGAGGCTAGAGCAATGTCAATATAGGTTTCACTTGTTCCTCTGGTAAAAGTGGGTATTTGGCCGTTGTTTAGAGCCGTCATGCTAAGTATGGCCATCCATTGTTCGATATATATTCCCCTTTCATCCATTGTATTAGGGCACCAGAGTCTCGACTTGAAGTCCCCTAGGATAATGTAGTTTGTGTTATGTAATCCCCTAACGTCTTCCATAATCTCGTCCACTTTTGCCTCAAATTCTGCTCTTGGGATGTTCGGTGAGATGTTGCAGTTATAAAACGTTGTTCCATTTATATTTATTTTTAGGTATCCAGTTTTGCCTAAATGATCGAGTATGCCTACATTTTTGTTTCTAATAAATACTGCTACAGCATTCCTAGTGTCTGAGATTAATCCCATGTTTACTACATTTTTTGTTTGGTTCCTGCATGAATATTATGTCAATATCATGTCTGTCTGCCATAGCCATGACAACGTCGTGTGCCCCCCTAGCACGTCCGGTGTTAATTTGTAGTATTTTGTATCTCATTGTAGAAAGTTAAAATATATTTTCAGGTGGTAGAGATATGTATTTGTATGAAGATAGGTATGTATATAAAAGAAATAAAGGAGTTGATAAATAGATAGAAATATGTACAGATGAGTTCTTGTAAGATAGGTTGGTATT